ACTTAGGTCTCTTCCAAGGAGCTGTGTGAAGCTGTGTCTCAATGTGTCGTGAACGGAGTAGCCTCTTTTACTTTCATAATGTGTAAACAGCTATGATGGATCTGCTGTAGTCCTTGATAGCTTCCGTCAGTGTTGCCTTGACGCTTATCTCGGGAAGAGCCAAATTTTCAGGTAACATCAAACCTGAAATATTTTTCCACTTGGAGTGAATTCTCTGCTCACCTGCCTGAATTCCAGAAAGCTTTCGTCAAGGCGGGGCAACGTGGGTCTTTGAAGGATGCTGAGGCAAGGATTCTGAGTAGAGGTTTCTTGCCAAGAACGCTCTGGGGTCTTTCTTGGCTTAGAAGCAAAGACTTTCCGGGGCTTCTTGCTGGGAAGCTCAAAGAACCCACGAGAATCCCATCCTCGTGCCTCTTAGGCAGTGTCTGAACCACCCAGGCCCAAGTCCTCCTTCGTTTGGGGATTCCGGCCTGTTTGCAGCCTCTCAGGGTGCTCCCTTGCTCACATGTGAACACACTGGCTTTGTTTCTGGATAGAGATGGACACGAACCGGTTTGTTGTGGTTCGTAAAGGTGGCAGCACTTCCCTCTCCCGCCTGCTCTGGCTCAGTCAGCCCCTCACAAAGCCAAGCATGCTAGCTTCCTGCACCTCCTCAACTGATCTCCCAGTCCCGGCAGCATCTCGGACTTCTCTGCCCCGCCCTATTGGCGGATCTGCCACTCAGACCAAAGGGCGGGGCAGAGAACTCTGAGCTTTTGCTTGTGACTGGAAGATTAGCCAAGGAGGTGGGAAAAGCAAGCCAGTTGGGCTTGGTGAGTGGTTGGATCTGCTATGGAGGTGGTGGAAGGGGAGGAGCCATACCTTTACGACAATCCAGTTCCTGCCCTTCTGTACTCCTGGATGTGTTTTCACAGACAAAGCAAAGTAGAGGGAAGAGAATTCTTAAGTCATACACTTTGTTCTGTTTCAAATGAGAGTCTACACATAGGGTGGTGCTTAACTTTGTCAATTACAGTGGTGCCTCGAATAGCGAGCACCTCTATTAATGAAGAAACCGAATAGCGATGTGGTTTTCGGGGCATTTATTTGCTTTGATTAGCGATTTTTCCTATGGGCGATTTTCGACTAGCGATCGTTGGGACCGCTCTTCGAACAGCGAGTCCGTTTTAGGCCCCCTGTTTTCGATTAGCGATTTTTAAACAGCCGCGCGATCGCTAATTTTAAAATGGTTTAAAGTTAAGGTTTAAGGTTTGAAATGTTTGGAATCGTAAAGTGCACTTAATAAAACCTTTGTTAACCTAATTTGACTGTGTTCTGACTCTTTTAATTTGTTGTGGAATTTTTTTCCCCCATTGAGATGTGTTGAATAGGTTTCAATGCATTTAAATGGCGGAACCGCGTTTTGAATAGCGAGGTTTCCTATGGAGATTTTTGAATAGCGATGGCAGAGGGCAACTTATTCCAATTGGAACAGATTAGCTGCTTTCAATGCATTTCAATGGGAAACCGCAAACTTGTTCCAATTGGAACGGATTAGCCTGCTTTCAATGCATTTCAATGGGAAATCGCATTTTGAATAGCGATGAATATGAATTGCGAGGTTTTTTTCGGAACGCATTAACCTTGCTATTCGAGGCACCACTGTACCGAACGCATTAACCTCGCTATTTGAGGCACCACTGTAAGTGGGAACTGGTTTAAGGCCAGGAAAAATTCCAGTTGCTTCATTGTCTGTGCGACTAGAACTTTGATGGTACTGCCGACTGGGAATTCTAAGTATTTTTTCTACTCCTAGTTTACCCCTCAAGATATTGGCTTGTTAGAGTAATGCCTCAATAACTAAAAATTAAAATTTCAAGGAAGACATTAATTCAGTGCTGAGAAATATTTGTTTCATTTCTAAAGTACAAGGAGTTCCTTGGTCTGTTTTAATTTTCTGGCTCAGTAAAGTTTTCAGGCCTGTAAATCTGGGTTATGTAGTAGAGTTGTTGAGTCAAGTCATATGATGTCTCATTCCAAAGACCATTTGTGGTTGGTTGGGTTTGTTTTTGTTTTATAAAAAGCAATTTTGACAGTTGTTTTTTGTTTTTGTTAAATAATCTGTGTCTATTTTATATTCTTTCACAATCAGTTTTGAGATAATGCATTAGTTCCAAATCAGGGGAAATTACAGAGGCTTTTTGGAATATAAATGGAATAAAGAGGGTTAGGTGGTGGTGGCTTACCCATGTATGGGGATAATTGAGTCACCTTGAATTCTGTGGGAGAAAGGCGAGATATAAATATTTTAAATAAATAATAAAATAAATAATTGGGGTTTTTAAATCAGTCTGTATGATGGTGGTATGAATGATTCGTTTTGATTCTTCTAGATTAAAGCAGTATTTACCATACCTCTGTTTAAGGGAAGCAGAAAACAGGGAGAACTTTTATTTGGCTGGTGTGATCCCATATCCTCATGAGTGGCTATTTAAAAAAAACACCCATAATTGAGGTGCCCAGTTTCAGTCTTGACAGTGGAATCATCAGAGCCCAGCGCTTTTCCTTCAAGGTGGAGGAAGAAGCCCTCGGAAAGCAACCTGGTCTTGAACCTACTCAGCTGAGGCTCCAAAATCAGAGTTTGCTGATTTAGGTAGAGACGCTCATCCCTACTCCACCCCAGAATCGGATCATTAAAATAAACTCTTAACGCGCCCCCCCCCAGGTTTAGTTCACCCAAGTTTCTCTCAAAACCCAAACTCTTAAAAGGTAAAAAAAATAATAATAATGATAAAAAGAAAGGCAAAAACAAAATGGAAATTATCCCATGGCGACAAACCAGAAACAGAATTATTGCAAGGTTATGAAAAATAGTTACAGAATCAAAGAAGAAGCCTCTGGAAACATTAAGCAAGATGATGCAAAACAAAGAAAGCAAACTTGGATAGTTGGCTACTTCAAAATAAAATACAGAGACAGAACTTCAATTAAATTTAGTGGGTTTTAGGACTGATCGTGAGGTTCAGTTTTTACATCTAACTAGAGATGTTGGGCATTCTTGTGGAATGACTGGCACTCAACTTTGGCGCTCAAATGTTTTCTACTTAATTGGCATTAATTGGGTGTACAGGTCATGATGTGACAGTAACTGGCGTGCCTTTAAAAGAACATATATTTTTTTCTGTACCTGCTTCTCTCCTCTCCCCCCCCCCCAATAAACAGTATGCTCTTCCCCAGAGATCCCTTTGGGAATGTATTGCAGAGTTTAAGCTCCCCTGGGTTCTGTAGTCAGGAGTTCTTTCTGTGCGTCTGTGTTCCCTATCCCACATCTTGAAAACTGTGAAGATGGGGGTCAGATATCCAAGGCCAGCTGACATGTTTGTGGCAGATGAGATTTGGAGCATAGTCTGTGCTCAAGCTGTGTATTAAATGTGTGTTTGTACGTCAGTTTTAAATAAAACAGACCAACCCAGGATGCCAGTGGCAGTTCCATCGCCCTCTATGAAAAGCCCCTGTCTGCCTTGCAACCAACGCTGACATTGCAGTCTGTCCGTAGCGTGTAGTTTTGGTCTTATTCTTTGTGTAACATAGTTGGTAGTCACAAGGGTGGTACAAGTGAGGAGAAACATACATACACACACAATTTAAGAGGGACGTGTTTCGGGATGTCACGCGGAGCTCAAGCCTTACCGAGTTACAAGCTGCCTCTTGAGGTCTGCTTTAGTAGTAAATGGTCTTTTTATCCCCGGACAAGGAAGGGAGTGTTGTACTTGACTGGCTGCCTTTGCTGGAAGGTACAAGGGAAAAGAATGCACTGCATTCTGTACCATCTGTCCAATTTAAGCCACATGACCTGAGGAGGATTCCACAGGAGGCCTTTTCGTTCCTTTCCATAGGATGAATCACCCATTTTTCTTCTGCTGAACAAAATTGTCCTTTTAGCTGATAAGAGGGATCAAGAGCTTTAGAAGTTTCATAAACACATCTTTTTCATATTAACTTCAACAGGCAAACCAAGATGCTCTTCTTTCCTTTTTCCAACCACAGTCGGTTTGGTTGTGGACCGGTTTTGGCATGAGTGGAAAAATCAGTCTCAATCCCGTCCGGCAGATTCCCCCTGCGTTGATTTCAGTCTTGGGGAGCATTGGTGGGCAGACTGCTTGTAATTAGCTGCAGCTATTCCAACGTGCCATGCTTTTAAATGCTAAGGTTTCTCAGATATTTCAAGGATGCGTCTTTCTCATGGGTAACTATGGGCTTCCAGTTGTAGCCTCTTAGTGTCTGTCAAGTGCTGGATCCAGAACTTGCTAGAATAGTTACCTGCCCACTCAAAGCATGATAAGCGAGATGCCTCCCCCAGTCCTGATGCTCTTTCTTTATAGGAGACATCTTAAAGAGGGAGCTTTCTTCCAGTCTGGTCCTTAGGCAGCCTTTCCTTCCCCTTTATTCCAGACATCTTGGGCACATCTTGGAGTCTCGTTCTGTCTCTGTATTTGGATTTGGAAACATGAGTGGAAGCAGCAAAAACTCCTCCTTCCTGCTTTTGGGTGTTTCCAGAGTCATGGCGTAAGCCATGAGTTGTGGCATAATCAGAATTGCAGGGGCAGCTGCTATACAGTTCTGGGCACGAGGGAATTCCCGGCCTATTTTGGACAGTCCATCTTTCTGTCCAGGGGACGGGAACAATCAGTTCACCATACAATGAATGCAGAGGTCAGTGCAGGTACAAGATGCTGCCACACTGAAAGCAAGAAACAAAATCTTGTAGAAAGGAGATTAGAAACATTCGACATCATGTTCATTACAAAGCCTTGCTTCTGAGCACAATAAGAATGATAAACATCAGCCTTTCAGTCCCTCACGTTGCCTCTTTAGACCATACCTGTGTTTTAGTTATAGCGAGCAAACCCAGCCCCCCCATTATCTGTTTGAGTAGGATGTGTGAAGCAGTGAGAATAAATATATCCAGTGGTTGCAAATGTTGACTGTTGTAAAATTATCCGTTCGTTTTGTTTTCACAGTTGGAAAATTGAGAGCTCTTTCTGAGACCCACCCCTGTGACTTGAACTGAAATTGGGCCAGATCCTTAGCCTAGCCCAGCCTGCCAATCTGTCCGATATGTCGGGACCTGTGCCAAGCAGGGCCAGAGTTTACACAGATGTAAATACACACAGACCACGGGAATACTGGGATTATGAATCTCACGTTGTTGAATGGGGGTAAGTGTCCACTGCGGTAGCTTCTGTGATTACAGGATGTTTATTTGTTGCAATTGTTGGAGCAGAGTTGGGGGAGAACTCTTGTCCAAGATCCTGGACTGCTGTTGTCTGTCACATTAGCCAGTATGAGTTGAGATTGGCTTCCACGTTGCCTTGTACCGTTTTTCCCCAAAAATAAGACAGGGTCTTAATACAGAGGCTTCCATGGCCAACGTCTCTTTAAAATTTCCAGCAAAGGAGAAGCTATGCTCCTCAGAAGCACACTACACTCTCGGTGTATGTGGCCCTCTTTAGAGGGCCTTAAGTAAAAAATGAAAATAAAAACACAGGTCCTCAGGGAACTTCCACTCTTAAGTTTTAGCCTCCAAGTGAGTGCCAGGGGGGAGAAGGAGGAGATACGTTTTCATTCAAACATTGTGAGATGAGATAAGCGAGTCTATCAAGTCATTTCCAAAAGAATGCTATTTTGGGGGAAACAGGGTATATCAGATCACAAGATGCATTTCATAGAATCATAGAGTTGGCAGGGACCTTGAAGGACATCTAGCCAGTCCCCAATGCTAAAGCCTTGATACCATGGCCAACATCTGTTTAAAACTTCCAGCAAAGGAGAGGCCATGCTCCTCAGAAGCACACTATACTCTCGGTGTATGTGGCCCTCTTTAGATGGCCTTAAGTAAAAAATGAAAATAAAAACACAGGTCCTCAGGGAACTTCCACTCTTAAGTTTTAGCCTCCAAGTGAGTGCCAGGGGGGAGAAGGAGGAGATACGTTTTCATTCAAACATTGTGAGATGAGATAAGCGAGTCTATCAAGTCATTTCCAAAAGAATGTCTGGTCCTGGGGTGGGGGTGGGGAAGAGAGAGAAACCAATGTTCCTGCAATTTTCCAGGAATCTCTCCATCTTTTTATATTAGGGGTAGTTGGCCCCCATTGGTTAAAGTTGCCCTTTAGTCATCCCGATTTTTTCTTTCATGATCTCTCTCTCTCACTCTCACTGAAAAGGGTCCTTCACACATACTACTAGTTAAAATGTTTTAGCATATTCACCAGAATAGGGAGGTCTGGGATGAGGTGGGGCAGGGTTAGGGTGGCTCCACCGCATGGCAAAAGTGCCTCTCGGTGCCGTGGAAGGTCCGAAGTGACTTTATGGGCGAAACGGTTTAAATCGTCAGGGAGAGGGGAGCGGTCAATTTTGGTAGGGGTGAGTTGGTGTGGAATGACCCTGGGAGCGACATCTGGACCCCTCTGTGTGGCTTACAGATACCCCTTCACACACACCCCCAATAGAAGTTCTGAAGGCTCATTTTGGAACCACTGCCTGTCTTGATGCATAGTTTGCTCCTTCCACACACTATGATCTCTCTTGGTTCCCTTTGTTCTTTCCAGCAATCAAGATGACTACCAACTTGTCCGGAAACTGGGCCGAGGCAAATACAGTGAAGTCTTTGAGGCCATCAACATCACAAATAATGAGAAAGTAGTTGTTAAGATCTTGAAGGTGATTCTCCTGGCATTGATTTTTTTTTTTTACATAACCTGTCTTTGAGTCTCTTTGCTCATGTTGAAGAAGTTCATTCCCATGTGATTATGGCAGTCATGGCAGACTATGAACCTGAGTAGCTTGCACCCCCCACTCCACTCCCATTCACTGGTTGCATCCGTGTAGCTTCTTCCTGCAATCCTCTCCTTCAGTCTTCTCTCCTCGTGGGAATAAAAATGCTGATGGGTTGAAGACCCTGCAGAAAGACCCCTCAGCTCCCTACCGTGTTTTCCCGAAAATAAGACAGGATCTTACATTAAGTTTTGCTTCAAAAATGCATTATTTTCAGGGGATGTCTAATTTTTTCCATGTACAACAATCTACATTTTATTCAGATACAGTTGTGTCATTTTCTGTTTTCTGCACAAGGGTGGAGAACAGGGTGTCACTTAACTAGGGCTTATTTTTGGGGTAGGGCTTATATGACGAGCATCCTGAAAAATCCTACTAGGGCTTATTTTCAGGATAGGTCTTATTTTCGGGGAAACGGTACTACTGAAGTACCCCGTTCATGGGATCGAGGAGCGGTTCCCAACCTTGGGCAACCCAGGTGTTCTATCGAGAAGTGGTTCCCAACCTTGGGCAACCCAGGATTCTTGAACTGCCAACTCCCAGAAACTCTGGTCAGCACAGCTAGTGGTGAAGGCTTCTGGGAGTTGCAGTCCAAGAACACCGGGGTTAATCAAGGTTGGGAACCACTGCTCTAGGGAGCTGTCGGAGCAGCCAGCCAGGCAATACAGTGCAAAGCCCTCACTATGTTAGAATCTTGAAGGTGGGTTTTCATATGACAAGAAGCCGTCTGAAGTGGGGCGGGGGGGCATTTCTGAGAAAGTCACCCCTGACTTTGACACATGAGCAGAAGTCACCTTTGGGAACCTGCGAAATAGCCTTGATTGCTCTTGCTACATTCCAAGGAGCTTTCACTGGGTGTGGGGTGAGGTAGTTGCATCCGTTCCCTTTTGTGCAGTTTGTTGTGTGTCTTTAATTGGAAAAACCTGAGGTACGTAGCATCTCATATCACTGTTTTATTAGATTTTCTTGCAGGAATGATGTTATGGCAACATGCAAGCCCCCCCCCCCCCGCCCTGGAGGGCCCCCGCGACAGCG